TTGTTATGTGTACTTGGGGGATCACTATAAACTTCATTGTGGAACCTGGCTTTTGGTAAGATTTTCTGTACCTCGAAACTTTTCGGCTCTCAGTTTCAAATACAGCTTCAAAACATCAGTGCTGGTTGGTTCCTGGATATGCTTTCAGAGATTGTTTAACCATTGTTTGGGAAGTGAGAATTTTTGTGTTTGACTTTTGTCTTTGATGTCTGAGCAATTTTCTTTTCCGGTAGGCAATGACTCACTTTTTGTATTGAAGGGATCTTATGATGGAAGGAGGTATTTTGTCTGATTTGGGATCATTATGTGGTTTGTAAGTTGTGGAACGTTAAGAAACATCTGGTGATTTAATTGATGTCCTCCCCTAGTAGGGCCCTGTTTGCCCTGGGAGATTTCCCTTCATTTAGCCAGGGTTATGCTCTCCTGCTAATGCTAATAATAGTATGCTTGTTGATTTGGACCTGCTAATGTAATTCATAGCTACTCATTGTATGAAACAATTTCTTAAGTTGTTTAATTTGGAGCTTCTGGCATTTAAATAACTTATCTTGGTTATGATCAGTCTCCATAAGTTTAAAAACAGCATGAAAGAATCCTGGCAGGATTCTTATGCGATGCAAGGATATGTCTTTGTTACTTGAAATGGTTCCTTTTTGTTATTTTTCTTTCTTTGTTTCTTTCTTTTTGGGGCCTGGCTAGCAATTCTCATGCATAGGATTTGACTGCACTGGCTTTTGAAGGTGGCCACTTGGCCTACATCAATTTTTTTTATTGTTGGGGCCCTTCCTTTAAATGTGGTGAAGATAAGAATAAATAATTTAGCTACTATCATCATCTGCACTATATACGACATCACTTCTCCTCTATCATTCTATAGGTGTTCCTGACATCCTGGCAACATAGGTGTATCTCACTATAGCTATGTGTGGTGTTTACTGTGTCTATCCGTTTCTAATCTATGGTGATGGGATTGCTCATCTATTTCCCTTTTTTCCGGAGAATTATGTATAAGATTGGTGGATGACTTGAACCATTTTAAATCCTCTATTATGAGAAGAAGTCTGAAAATTTTGCAAGATGTTTTATGATGTATGGGGTTCAATTGGATTTTTGGGTGGATTTATTTGACTCTTTTAATGTTGTCTTCTTGTTGATGCAGGCTGATGTGTTGTTGTTATGTTCAAATGCAATGCAGTACAATGCACCTGATACAATTTACTTTCGGCAGGTGGGAACCAGTCTTTCAGTAATTCTTGTGTGTGTTATCTTTTTCTGCTTTATATTAAATGTTGGCCTGTATTAGGCTCGGTCCATACGAGAGCTGGCGAAACGGGACTTTGAGAATCTGAGGAATGAAGGTGATAATGGTGAACCACAGCCCAAAGTCATTCGAAGGGGACGACCCCAAGCAAAAATTTGAAAAAGCCTCTTGAGAGTTCACCTGTTGATCGTGTTGGTCATGAGCTCTCCTCAGGTGCAACTCTTGCTAGTGCGGAAGATAAAGCAATTGGATCTAATGGTTACAATCTAAGAAAGGGACCTGCGTTTTATAGGTTTCGTTCTAATGATGCATTTGGCACTTCCTTTCGCTCACGCAATGGTGAAAATTATTCTGACTGGTTGGTTGATTGGAATAGTGAATTTCCAGGTATTGGATCTGGACTTGCTCACACACTGAATCCTTAGATGTCATCATCTTATTCTTCTTGTTGTTCAACATTTTTTTTTCTTTTTTTTCCATGTGGTTTGTAGCATCTATTCTAAGGGCAGACATGAAGTACGGAAAGAAACATTTCTCTGCAGTGGATGAGAACAGGCGTGATACCTACAAGCAATTCCACCCTTCAACTTCCAGTAGCAATGAATCTTATTTGTGGAATCTTTTGGAGATATGAAGCGGTTACTGCGGTTTGTTCTTCGGAGAACTTGTATATAATATTAAGAGTTTACTTTTGTGTCTTTGTGGAGGATTTAGAATCACCCATTTGATCATTTTTGGTCACTTCCCTCATGCTTTTATAATTCAATGATTTGTTGGAGTCAGTGCAGTTATCTTTCCCAACCTTACTTTTGGCTGAAAGCTAGAGTGAATCTAAACTGCCTTTCCGTGGTGCTGATGCAGGTAGGTCTTCACTTGGAGCCACAAGCTTATGCACGAAGCCTGGCAAGATATGCTGCAAATCTTGGGCCTGTAGCATGGAATGTTGCCTCTAGAAAATTGAAGACTGCTCTGCCTGATGGACTGGCCTTTGGTCCTGGGTGGGTGGAAGAAAATGACGCACCACAGCAGCTGTTGTCAGCTGAGAAGCTGAAACAAGCAAATGGATTGGTACATGACCGTGATCCAAGCAGACCAGTAAACCGTCTTCTTCTCGTTTAAGTACTGCTGTAGCACACAGGCCATCTCCAGAAATGGCTGAAGCTGTTAGGAGATTGAATTGTCAGAATGAGCTAGCCGAACAGGCTGGTGGCTCTCCTTGGGCAACAGCGGGAGCCATCTTCCAGGCTCAGCATAAATCACTGTTTCACCCCAACCGAAATGGTTTCAGTAGCATGTTTGGGTGTGACCCATCCTCTCAAGTGGGATTAGCAAGACAAACCATACAAGCTGGACAGTCTGGGTTGGAAGGATGCTCAATATCTGATCAAATGCTTGGCGTGTTATCCACAGGGGATGTTTCGTCCCTTCGTCCAGTATACCAAGGGAATTCAGAAGAAATCAAATTGTCAGAAAACCGGGGTACATCTCAGCGTGGGAACCTATTAGGCCAGGCCTCTGATTCACATGTACCATCTGAAGTGGGAATGACTGCCAGATGTTTGCAGGCGCAACACAGACAACCCTTAGCAGTTCCCCCTGACCTTAACGTCCGAGTGCAGGCGTCAGCCTCGCCCAGTTCTAGTTTACAGATTGGTTCACCGCAGCAGCCAGACCTGGCCTTACAGCTTTGACAATAAGTTAAAATAATTTTTTGAAGGTTGCATCACCATTTTGATTTGGCTGAATGCAGTGCTGGGCTTATTGACAGCCGGATAGGGCTTCAGGTCATTAAGGTGAAATATAGAAGGAAAAATTTGTACAGATTAATGTAATTCAGCATTCTAGGCCAAAGGTAGATGAATTCTATTGTAAGATTTGAAAATGTGACTTAGTGAACTGAAGAACATTTGTAGCTTATTCATGAAAGCACGATTAACAAAAGCTCATTTGACTTCCACTCAAACTGTCACATCTTAACAGCTTCTGAATGCCACTGTTAAGTCCTTTTGGAAGAAAATTGACCTGAAATGAATGTGCGGGCGGAAGTTATTTGTGTTGTTCAACTGGTTTCATGATGCACCCCATGTCAACAACAGCTCACAATCCTCTGAACACGGCATGGAATAAACTGGCCAACCTTTGTATTGGCCATTTGTCCCTAACTTAAAAACTTGCCTCAAATTAATATGTTAGGCAAAGTACAGGCGTGTGCTCGAGTGAGAGAGCCTTTGACTTGTCTTGTGGAAATCAAAAATCAAAGAGAAAAAAAAAAAACCCCACACCACTCGGGAAAAAAAAGTACTAAAAATCTATCCCAACAAAGGTTAGGGTACTATACTAGTATGTATGTGTGTGAAAGTAAAAAAAGAAAAGGAAATCATATCCATACACACACCATCCATATCACTAATTGGCTTAGGATGGATGAAAATAAAGGGGTGAAATATCAAATATCAATTCCTTGCAACTCAATACGCAGGATATCCTGAAATTTTGGTCATTAAAAATTGACACTCACAGTTCCAATTTATTGAGGGACAAAATTTGGCACTCTAGTTAAATAAGTACTAATGGTTTTTTTTTTTTTTTTTTTTGAAAAAGAGTGCTAGTGGTTAAGACACTCCGATGCGCGTGCAACATATTAAAAGAAAAAAAATATGGTGACGAAAATTACTTTGATTTTGGGTTAATTACACTACTAGGTCTCGCACTTTATCTATAAGTATATATTTAGAGACATAATGAATAATGATACGATATGTTAATCTAAGATTACGGAGACAGGATGGATTATGATGTGATACGATACGTAATAATAATAATAGATTTAGAACGTTGTTAAGCTTATCTAATCTAATCTAATATAGGGAAAGTAGTACACTTAAACTATAATTTCGTCGAGACTTGAAGTAGTTGAAATAGGTTATGTCAGTCCTGTTGGATATTTTGATAAAAAAAAAAATAACAAAAACTATATATATATATTTGGAACAAGAGACGTCATGTTAGCCTTATGATCCGTTCCATTTCCATCTCTTTTTTTTTTCCCCTAAAAAAAGTTGTAAAAAATGGTCTTCAAATATTGAATTCCAAAACAGACTGAATAGTTGACAATTAAATTATGGGCTGTCTCGTCATTTTAACATTTAAAAAGATTGTGATTAAGTGAATGAGGCTAAAATCGGAGTGAAATCAATATATTATGCTTTCCCTAAGCAACTACTAATGCTGCTGATTTTCTGAAGGTTACTGGTTGAATGTATGTTCCTTTCTTAACAAGGCAACAGGCAATCAGCTAATCCAACAATTAAAAATCCTTCACCTTATCGCGACTCAACCCACATTCATTCTCCTCCCTTTTTCTTGATTCTTGAATTATTAAATTAATAAAGAAACCCCAAATGATCTACTAATCCCAATTAACGAATTTCCCGTTCTTCTCCTTCCAAAGGAAAAAGAAGACTCTTCCTTCTTCGGAAGAACGAAAAGACAACATAAATAATGAAGTAAAAGTTTGTTATGGCGTCCCTTCCTTCCCCTGTACTACTGCTGACTTCCCTTTTTATTCAGCTCTTGGGAAGTAATCAACTAATAATAATATATATTATTGATACTACGACGACTACGCACAGCGATTTTGGATTCTCTCCTCTTTGCGATTTTGGATACCGGACCACCTCCTCCTCCTGCTGTGCCATCATCTCAAGATTCAAGAGGGGCCTGGCCGGTGGCGGTGGGCATGGCCCGAAATCTACGCGCAACCTTCCTTTACGTAGTTTTCTCCATCTTCTTCTGTGCTTTCCTCTCTCACCATTACCTTCATCGCGACCCAGCTGTTGTTTCCCTCCCCAACATTACCACCGCTACCGCCCTCAACTTTGATGTTGATGATGATCAAAATGATGATCATCCCCGCCGTCCTCCACCAACCAATTCGCCCCCTGTCCCACCAATCACCACCGCTACAATTACCTCCACTGCCATCATCAATCACGCCATCCACGATAATCTCTCCGCCGCCCACCACCCCAAAATCCCTCCTCAACCATCCCCTCTCCTCCTCCTCCTCTCCACCGTTTCCCTTCTCCTCCCCGACTGGGAGGTTCTCGTCATCGTCCCCCGAGCACACCCCAACTCTCATGACCCATCCTCGCGGATACCGACACGACGACGGCCAATACCTGTGCTCGTTTCCCAACAGCGATATCTCGCCGGCCACTCCGGCCGGCGTCCTGCATTTCCCTGACAGGGCGACGTTCAAGTGCGTCCTCCAGAAAGGAGTCGTCGGAGATTGCCGTTCCCGAGGCCGGTGCTGACGAAGAACCGCGCACCACCGCCGCAGAGGAGTTCTCCGGCCCCGGAAATGCTCCGGTGGACCTACGTGGCGTATGATTCCCTGACGACGGAGGACGATGTGGTGGTGTTCGCGAAGGGGCTGAATCACAGGCAAGGAATAAACCGTGAGCCGTCGGAATTTAAGTGCGTGTTCTATCGGGGCGATGACGTGGCAAACGGGGTGAGAACTGCCGTTACGAATTCCATGCAGGAAGTGTTCCGTTGTCAACGACCCTCCGAACTAACGCATCGTTTCCTCTATTTTCTTCTTCTTCTTTCCAGCAGTAGGAGTCCTCCTCCTGCCGGGGAGGATCGCGGAGAGAATCAAAAGTTACCCTGGAAACCGTCCTGGATAAGCGGGTCTCCCAGCGTCGCCTACTATAACCCCGCGCAAGCTAGCTGCGAAGAGCAGCGGGAGGGCGCTACTGTGCGCCTGCACCATGGTCTACAACGTGGCCAAGTTCTTGAAAGAATGGGTCGTCTATCATTCCAAAATTGGGGTGCAAAGGTTCCTGCTCTACGATAACGGCAGCGACGACAACTTGAAAGACGTGGTGGAAGAGCTGGTGAGACAAGGTTACGATGTAAACAGCTACTTTTGGTATTGGCCCAAGGCGCAGGAGGCCGGTTTTTCCCACAGCGCCGTTTATGCTAAGGATTCTTGTACCTGGACGGCTTACATTGATGTGGACGAGTTCATTTATTCTCCTTCCTGGTTCAATTCGTCAAGCCATCAAGCTCCATGTTGCATTCCCTACTCACGTTACCACCGCCGGTCGGGGCCGCAACGGATGATCATGATCATAATCATAACAACAACAACAATAATAATAATAAAAGATCAATATTAACGTCCAACGCCGAAGAATTAGCATCATTGTCATTAGGGCAAGTTCACATCGGGTGTCACGAATTCGGGCCGTCGAACCGGACGGAACATCCTGCAGAGGGAGTGATGCAAGGGTACAATTGCAGAAAGCAGCTCGAAAACAGGCACAAGTCTATAGTGTTATTAGATGCAGTGGACAATTCTTTGTTGAACGTGATACACCATTTTAGTTGAAGCCGCGGGTACTGTCCTAGGAAGTTGAGCATTCGGGAAGCGTTGGTGAATCACTATAAATTCCAGGCGTGGCCGGAGTTCAAGACCAAGTTTAGAAGACGGGTTTCGGCTTACGTGGTGGACTGGACGCAACAGGTGAACCCTGGTTCCAATGATAGAACCCCAGGGCTAGGGTTTTCAGCCGTTGAACCTCAGGGTTGGCCTGGAAAGTTTTTGAGGTGCTTGATAACGGCTTGAAAGACCTCACCCGGAAATGGTTCGCACTCGAAGTTGCATCCTCCTCCGAGGTTCACAACAACTACAAGATGGCTTGGCAAAGGTGACCGGCAGCTGGCGGGTGAGAACCCAATTATTACTAGTAATTAAAAAAAATTTTTTTTTTTTTGGCCCCCGAGAGGTGCTTCATGCATATTGATTTCCTAGTATTTTGGTAGAAGAATAATTCTTTTCTTCCGTTAGTACGTACAGCACCCTCGTTTTCTTGTTCACAAAGGAAGGGAAGGTGAGGTGGCGGCTGAGCATACATGAGAATCTCATACGAATGAGAGAGGATGATTAATGGAGAGAGTGAAGGGACGGAGCACTTGGACATTTAGGAGGAAAGGAATATAATACCAGTGTAAGGTTGCTTCTGGCTGCTACAAGACGACGACTAGTAGCTTTATGGAGTAGTTTATAAATTTTTTTTTTTTTTTCATTTTCTTCAGGAGCTCTGTGTCTTGTATACTTTATTAGCTACATATATAGTTCAGTACAGTAGTAGTTCTGTAGGATACTATTACGTGAGACAAGAAGACTTCACCACCTAGCTACTCTAGGTTGGAAGGAAGTTAGTTATGGACACCCCTCCATACTTGGTATCTAGATTACTTCATTTAATTTCCTCTGCAGTTTTTGGGCCTTGGAGTTATTTAACACGCCACTTCTGGGTCCTGAGAAGCTTGAAGAATCTTTTCCATTCTTCTTCGGTCATGGTTACGTATGAAAAGATAGAAATAAAATGACCATAATTTTAGATATTCACTTAATTTTGTTAGGTATAGGTGCTTTTCTTCTAGTATTCAAGGCTCTATATTTTGGGGACGTGTATGATACCTGGGCTCCGGGAGGGGGAGACCACAATTTTAGGTATTCACTTAATCTTTGTTAGGTACAGATGCAAGAAGAATGAAAGAAGAATGAATATTTTGTTTTGTTAGCGAGGCCTTGTGGCTTTACCACTTTGTTGTTCTGTTTTTCTACTAGAAAGAACTGGTCACATCACGTAGTAGAAGTGTAGAACGAACGGACCCATTAAGGGCAGAGAGAGAGAGAGAGAGACAGAATATGTTGGTTGTTTCCTTGTTTTGATGCTCATCACCTTTTCTTATCTTACTGCATTTGACAATTTTCAATAATAATAATGTTTTCGTGGGGAAGGGATTGGGATCTGTGAAATTGGAAAACGAAAGAAAAGTACTATTAGATGGATTCCAGTGGCTGAGACTTATTCACGATGTTCAAGCAGTATGAATGTGAAAAAACAGAGGAAGGACAGAGTCAGAAGGCAAAGAAAAGGCGAGAGAGGGGCATCACCAATTCATGATCAGGCTTGACATGAATCCCAATTTTGCATCTCATCTCAAAGCGCAGTTAAGAGATGTGGAGCTTGATTTGAGTTGTACACAAATCAAGTTCGTTCTTTCCTTGTTTTGCCTGGTTTCGCTTTATTGCAGATTGCGCATATTGTTCGAGTGATCAGCACAATTTGCCTAAAAACTTGATCTTTTCCTTTAATTGCTCTAAAAGTTACCTCACGCGCTGCTCCATCTCTAATTGATCTGTTTTCTCTCCATTCCTTGCTCTGTTCGATACATAAAGTAAAAAAGGCAGCAGTACAAGAGCAGAATCATGAACCATGATATACAGAACAAGCTACAAAGTCTTATGGCCCGGGCTAGCTCTCTTTTACGTATTATTTACTAGAAGACTAGATGTCAAGATTTTCCAACCAGTGGTTGCAGAACTTGAAAAACATAACAGTGCCTTGATTTGGCAGACTGATACTCAAAGCCCATGTCCCATACTCAAAGCACTTCAACTGTAATTTATAGTACTTGTTATATTTTTTATGTATGTGTAAAATCATTACTATCTTTTGTGGTCTTATGATAATTGCATCAAAAACATCCGTTCACTAGCTAATAACATATTATATATTTGTATAAATGTATGTTCGTACGTATCATCCAAAAAACTCCCTTATTTCCTACATTTCAAAAATATTTTGAAAATATTCACACTTTTAATTAGCTGTGTAAAACATGTAAAGAAAAATTTTAAAATTTAAATAAGGATAATGACATACTTTTGAATTACATACAGAATAAGAACGGCATGTATTATAATAACTATAGCTTTATATATATTGAAGTAATAAGGCGATAAAATTTTAATATATTTAACGTCTCACATATAAAAATAAGTTTAAAGTTGGTATAGATGTAGTATAGTCCTTAAAAACTACAGTAAATTTATCCATTTTTACTATTACCAAATTAGTTTATTTTTCAATTCATACACGATTTATATTTATGTTTATTTATTTATTAATCTATAAATCCTAATAAAATTAAATAGCACTTTTAATCCAATTACACGTCCAAAATTTAAATTACTCAAAATTTTAATTTGTACATATTGAAAAATGTTAATTTAATCCAAAGAATAAATTTACACAATCAATCATGAGGTTCTAAATTTTGGAAATTTGTATAAAACAAAAAAAAAAATCCAACTACATTAAAAAATTTATTTTTTCAATTAAAAAATCAAAGTGTAAAGCAAACTATGTCATATATGCAACATATATGACGTAAACCACATTTAAAAAAAAATTTCAAAGTGTAGCTGCACATCATAAATGCGGCTACGTTAATACTTTTCTTTAATTGACATTTTATAAAACAAGTAATCTGATCGCAGTGCCGCACATATTACTTTAAAAAAAAATTGACATTTTGAATTCTTTTGTCACTAGCCATGTTGATTTAAAAAAAAAAAAATTCACCAGTCGGCCCACGTGGAATGCGTGGGGATCCTATTTGAAAGACCCTTTAATTATTTTGAGAAATTTGCCGTAATGGGTGGTTTGTGTAATGTGAATGCCATGTTATAGCGCCACATAAATTGTACCATTCGGAAATCGGATAGTGTATCATCACTCCACCAATTTTAGCCCACCATGCAAGTTAACTTCTGGAAAATATGTAACTCAAGTCTACTTCCTAATCTTACAAGTTTTATTATTTAGGAAATTATGTCTAATTAGAATCCCTTTGTGATTTGTTTATTGAGTAGCAGTAGTCAAGTTGGATTAGGAGTTGGATAGTTTAGTTGTATGTATATATGAGCTATTCGGGATTATGAAAGAACCATCAGAGAGAATTTGAGAAAATTAGTCAGTGGCCTCCTTGTTTCTGGCTTTGGGTTTCATATATCATAGTCAATTTTTATCTTCACTCAACAAACCTTTGTTCATCATCATCACCATCTTCTCTATTCTTCTGGGTTTTTTTTTTTTTTTTTTTTTTGCGTATTTTGATCTCATTCTCAGTCTTTCCACGTCATTTTCTGTGTCCTTATCATCTTCATCTTCAGGATGGCTGATTTCTTTGAAGATGATTTTTTGGCCATTGCTAGAAATTTTTGGGGTGTTTTTAAAAAAATTTTCCGTAACAAAGTTTTTAGAGTATATTTTGGGATATTTTTAGAATATATTTTGAATATTTAAGGGTAGTAAAATTTTTAGAATATATTTTGAAATTTTTTTTAACCATTAAAAAAAAAGATGGCTTTTTAGAGTACAATTTAGAATACTTTTTAAAATTTTTTATAGTATCTATATCTATATCTATATAAATTTGAGAAAGGGTTTTAGTAACAAACCTTCACACACCTTCCCACTCTCAATTCTATTTTCTAACATTTTACATTTAATTTATTTCATAAAATACATCATGTCCACGTTTGAAACACACTACCATGTTTCCATCAAATAAGAATTCCACTCCAATTAATACTTCTCCTTTCACACACCTTCCTACTCCAATTAACAATTATACTCCGATTAAAACTCGTCCAACCCAATAATAAGAGATAACAGTATAATTTTATCAAAAATCACAATTTACCATCTCTTACAGCTTACTTCTAGAGACAAGGAGGAACAAGAACTGAATGTGGAGATACAAATAAGGAATGAGTCAAATGTGAGACTGTCATTTGGGTTCGTATTCCATTTCTTGGACTCTCATTTAAATAAGTGATTAAGATAACAACCTTACAAAGAAAACAAGGAATAGGGAATGCAATTTGCCTAACTTGGGAAATAGGGTAAAACACATAATACTATAAAAATTTATATCTATACATATTGCAACGAGGGTTTTTTGCATGGTTAAATCAGAATACTTATAATTTCTCATTCTTTTTTTTATAGAATTTTAAAATTTTTAATTGTTATATATCATTTCATGTCTTTTGAATTTAAAATTAAGAAGTGGCCAACTTATGTAGAAATTTGATTTGAAATATATTAATGTAAGGGTAAATACAGAAGAAAACCACCAACCCTACTAAAAGCAAATAACCATATTTTACTCTTCAACTTAGTAATTATAATTACTAAGAGCAAATTATATAAAAAAATAAAAGAAAATAATATTCATTGGTCATGGATTTCAAATATCAATAATGGTATCATTTGTGAATCCTAAATTATGAAAATCACTAAATAGAAAACAAAAGTACTACTTGTCTAAAAAAAAGAATGAGATTATAGGAATATAACAGAAATGATGGTATTGTGGTAAGAGATCTAAAAGTCATAGAAGGCAGCGGATAGCTAATTAGCGGGTAAGAGAGAATGGAAAGGGTGATAGTTTTTAATATTTTTAAAAATCTTAAAACACATATTACAAAGATTATTTTTAATCTATATTAAATTTTTAAAAATAATATTCTACAAGCACTCAACAATTTTAGGAGTGCTGTACCTCTCAGCCAAGGAGACGAAAAAGAATTCCTGTAAAATATAAAGAATGGATATAAGGTCCACTGGATAACCTAATTGTTCTGTATGTTGCTAAGACGTATAGGAATTCTATTCAAGATGTCAATAATTATGTAACAGACGTTTAACTTGAACTCTCATTCGATCATTGCCTATTCAAAATCAATTTTATTTCAAATACATAGCTGGCAAGCCCAGAACATTCAAACCAGTATCGGAGGCAAATTAGGGTAAATTAATAGATTTCTGATTGTGATATGATTACCATTCTCAACCTGATCAGAATGAACGCAGGGCTCGCCAACCAGAAATGGGAAGAACCCTTTGCCGCCCAAACATACATCAACCAAAATAACCGTCTATTTAGCTCTTGCCAACAGAAAATAATAACCGTCTCCAGCTTGTCTAACTAACAATTGGCTCCACAGCACCAGTATAAAAGAAGGGAAATTGAACTGAGTCATTCCCTCCCCTGTTCATATCCTGCTCAATTCTTACACATGTCGCCTTCATCATCTTATCTTATTTTCTTCTTTTTCATCTTCTTCCTTCTACATTGCTTCATCATCTTTGAACCTTATATGTTTCGTTGTCATCATTTTTAGCCCGTAGCTTGTTCTTCACACTCATTCTTCACTGCATATTCAGTTCACTCTACAGCTGATTCTCATGGATCATATTCTTGAAAAAATTGAGGCATTCTTGCTACCTCCTCTCAGGTTCTGTGCAAGAAACCCAGGAGTGAGAGAGGGTCTAATCTCCATGGCGCGGGCAATGGCGACTCTGGGCCTTTTTTGTCACGCGAAAGAGCAATTCCAGGCCGTTCGCAGTTTT